ATTAATATCTGTATGAATAAATGTCTGCCTTACACATGAATATAATAAATTTTTTAGTTTCTTTCTGCTGTTGATACTGTCTGTGTCAGTTCTAGGTGAGTTTTGATTGATAAAGATTTGTCGTCTCATCTCGAATATGTTGTATTTCCTACTTTTCTGCATGCCTGTTCATTTATTATTTTTTTTTTTTTTTTTTTTTTTAAAGAGAGGTTTTTGCTATAGGGGGTGAGTGCTTGCCCTGGAGAGACAGAAAGCAAGAAATCATTCCCCATTCCCCAGGATGGGGGATGGCCAGCCACAATCCCTTATTCTCCAGTCCTCCTCTTGGGATCTTGGGCAGTCATGCACACTTGACCAGGGTGAGTGTTAAGCTACTGAGCCTGGGACTCGAACTGCAGTCAGCTACATGAGAGTCCAACTGCATAACGATTACACCATCTGCTGGTTCTGCATGCCTGCTAATTTCTTTTTTTGGAGTGGTTTTTGCTATAGGGTGCGTGGACTCGCCAGAAAGACAGAGAGAGACAGAGAGATAGAAAGCGAGAAATCACCCCCCAGAGGGGATGGCCATGCCGCAATCCCTTCTCCTCCATTTTCCTCTCGGGATCTTGGGCACGCACGCACATGCGCCCAGCGTGAGTTTAAGCCACCGGGTCTGGGACTCGAACTGCAGTCGACTACATGGGAGTCCAGTGACATAGCCATTACGCTAATTGTTGGTCCCAACATGCCTGTTAATTTCTGAGTGGAGATCAGAGACTGTCAGTTTTACCTCACTGCGTAGTTCTTTTTTGCGTTCCTATGGTTGTCCTTGAGCTTTGTTCTGGGACAGTTAATTTTGTTGGAAATAACTTCATCCTTTTAGGTCTTGCTTTTAAAATTCATTTAGGCAGTACTGGAACAACATGCAGATTAAATTTAATTATTTTCCACTGCTAAGCAAGACTCTTCTGTGTGCTTTACCTACTGTCTGTCTATGTGTGAGAACCAGGCACTTTGACCTTAAGTCCTTTCAGATGGTTTTTCCTCTGATAACCCAGAATTTCCTTCCAAGTATAAACTCATTATCAATGTACAGCCAAACACTGATGGGCCCCTTGCGTTTTTCCAGAGTCTTTGTGGGCAGCTTTGCTTCAAACGGCTAAGCTGTCAGCCTCCCTGCTTCAATTTCCCTGAATCTGAATTTATTCTCTCAATTTGGGATTGGTCTCGGTTCTCTCAAGCCTTAAGCTGGAACAGTCAGGTGTTCCCGTCGTTTTCCTTCATCTCTTGGCCATCATTGTCCTTAGTTGTCTTACATTCAGTGGCTTGAAACCATTGTCTTAGTATTTAGTTTATGGTTATTTCAGGCAGGACAGTGAATGTGCTTTCTGTTACTTCATTGTTCATGGAATCAGAAATTCCTTATACATGTGGATGGAGGCAAATAGATAAACTTTTGGATTTACCAAGTAATTATATAAAAAACTTTACACAGATCCATCTACATTCCCCAAACAAATAAATAAATGTAGAAATTCTGGTGTAAAGATACTGTCATCACTCTTAAACATTTTAAAAAAATCAAAATCTGAATTTAAAAATTGATTTTCCTTGCTGTGACAGAAGTATTTATTCATATTTTCTTTTCTTTTCTTTTTTTTTCTTTAATTTGTTAAACAGTGTGCACTCTCCAGAGATACAGGAAAGGAGGAATAGTAAGAATGCACCCCCCCTCCAAGAAGGGTGGCTACACCACAGTCCCTTCTCTTAAGATTTTGAATACATATTCACATGTGCCTGGTTTCTTTTTCAAGCCTCTGGGTCTGAGACTTCAGTTGCTCAGCTGGCCATGTCAGATCTAGCCGCCTTAACTGTCATGCCACTGGCTGGCCATCTACATTTTATGTTCTTTGCCATACAGATAACCCACTCTTATCTCAGTTTATTGATTCATTAACTCCTTAGTTTTTTAATACTTTCCCCTACATTAAAAAAAAAGGTCATAGTTTCATTTATTGCATATTTACTTCCTGGCGAGTTAAGGTAGCTGTATCCCACAGGGCTAACTGCCCAGCTCAAGTCCTGGATCCAGTGGCTTGAAAAACAGTGTTGAGGGGGACCAGCAGATCGTTTAATGGTTATGTTGCTGGACTCTCATGTAATCAACCATGGTTTGAGTCCTGGACCATGCAGCGTAAAACTCAGGCCAGGCGCATGTGTGTGCATATCCAAAATCCCAAAAGGAGACTGGAGAAGAAGGGATTGTGGCGTGGCCATCCCCCTTGGCAGGGGATGATTCCTCACTTTCTATCTCTCTGTCTCTTTTTGTCTCTGGCAAGTACATGTGCCTTATAGCACAAATCTCTCACGAGATAAAAGAAAGAGAATAAGACACGTTGGGTGCCCAAAATTCTGAGAGGATGGAGAGATGGGAATAGAGGAACTGCAACATGACTGTTACTATAAGGGATGCTTTCTCCTCCTCTCTCTTTACATGTCTGTCTGTCTGTCTCTGGCAAGAGCACCTGCCCTCTGGCAAATCAAATAAAACAATTTACTTCTCATTCAAAATAGTGTTTATATTAAAACATCTTAAATTGAAAAGTATTTTTATTTTGTTTGTGAATAAACACATTATTAATGGCATTTATGTTCTTTTGGGTACTGTTCAAATTCTCAAACTGGGGCATTAGATTGGACATTGTTACCCTCTCTTCTTGTTCCACATGAATTTTGTGTAGACTTGCTTTTTATTACCACTACCAAAGATCTAGCTTCACAAAGATAAGATATTATCAAAAGGGTTATGGCACGATGTCATATAGAAACAATTAAATTTCTTGAGCTAGTAGTTTCAAGGTGTTTGACAGACATTAATGTAGTTTCCTTTGAAACCAAATATCCCATGATTACCCTGTGAATATGTGGTGCTGACAGAGTTCATTCTTGGGGTTCACAGAGAGAGACTCTCACTCTCACAGGATTTTGGCGCTCTCATGTGTTTTGGCTGATTTCTTTATGCTGAAAAACATGTTGGGTGCATTATCCTATTAAGGACATTGACTGAAAATAAAGACGCATGTATTTTCTTGTTGGAACTTAACTTCTGTCTTTACTGACTAAATTCAGACATGCAAGTTTTATTAGCTGCTTTCTTACATGGATTTTATTTTATTGAAATCTCATCATTTAGTCAATAGTGACCTTTAAGATACTTTATCTGTACTTTGCTCTGAGCCAAGTACATTTATAATAAATAACATTTCTGTTATTGATTTATAAATTTATGTTCTTATTTTTAATTATAAATATATACTTTTAGTAAATGTTTATATAATTTCTAAAACTTGTAAAAAAAAATAAGACAGCTCTGCTGTGCTTAACATACTATATCTTAAGTAAAAGAGAAATGAGACCAACTCTCCTCCTAAACCTCCTTGTGGCTTGACAAAGGTTTTCAACATGGAGATGTTCCTTACTAGGAGGTTTGTAAGACATCAAGGAAATGATGTGTAGGGATTCTCTGTGAAATGAGTGTTTATGACTCAATATAATTCAAGTGATCTTAACGGTTTTAAAGGTCTGATGGAAGTGTGGTTAAAACTATTCTTAGGTTTATCAACCTTGTTATGATTATAATGAAGTGTGTCTGTAAGTAGTTGCTACTTGAATACTTAAAACAGATAGCATTTCTTTTACTCAGTAATGTTCATTTGCAAAACACTGTTTTAATATTGAATACACAGATGTCATTGAAAGCATTTGTAATGAAGTGGATTTGAGAGTGCAGTCTTTCAGTGAGCTCCTACATTGGCAGCTTATGAATTGGGTTGTTGGAAAAGTTATGACAAATTTTTTTCTGCTCAAAAAATGACCTTTCTGACAACCCAATAGCTATGTGACCTTGAGGAATGACTTGTTGACCTGATGACCTTTTGTTTACTCTGTGAAAGTTTTTTGTAATCAAAATGGAGTAATTTGTGTCAACTTATGGGAAAACCTGACTAAACCAAGCAAGAAAGGCATTGGATGAGGTATTTTCTCATGCTGGCATGCCTTGACAATAGGACTGTTATTTAGAGAACACTGCCAGAATTACAACTTTTCACAAAGACGACTGCAACCTGTTAAAGAGAATTCTTCTGCACAGCATCTGCCCAAAGATAGTCCTTGGACTGACACCACCCTTGTTATTGATTCTGGTAGACAAGGATAATTGTCCCAAAACAACTGGTAGAATTCCCTCTCCCTCTCTCCTCCAGTTGTGGGTTTTTTCCTTTAAAACCTCTCCAGTGATTAAAGACGTCATTGCACATTTTCAGGCCTGAAAGATGCTCATTCTGGCCACAATTGGCTATATTCCTTTTATTTAGCTTAGAGTAAGCCTCTGAAATTTTTGCAGTTTGATTATTTTCTGTTGACAACTCATAAGAAAAATGTGGAAATAATGATATACTTTTAGAACAGGGTGATTTTCATGGTAGTTTAAGGATGTAAGTTTCTTAGTAGATAAGAGCAATGCAGAGGACCAGTTGGCATAATGGCTATGTCGCTGGACTCCCAGGTAGTCGACCGCGCTTTGAGTCCTAGACCCGGTGGCTTAAACTCACACAGGGCTCCTGTGAAAGGGTGCCCAAGATCCTGAGAGGAGAATGGAGGTGAAGGGATTGTGATGTGGCCACCTCCCCAGTGGGTGATTTCTCGCTTTCTATCTATCTTTATGGCGAGCTCACATGCCCTATAGCGAAAACCTCTTTATAAAAAAGAGCAGTGCGGGAGTTGTGATTGTCTTGATCACTGTTGTGTTCTTAGCACCAGACAACATACCTAGGTTCACAACAAGTACTTGTTGAATTAACTATCATTTTTTTCCAGTAGTAACATACCAAAAAGGAAAGAAATGAAAAGGTTTGAAATGTTATCATAGCAAAATAATGTTGACATATCTTAAATCAGTAGTAGGGAGTTAGTGTAATGAAAAGTGTCCTTTATAATAGTGTCCTTTGTAAACTTTTTAGGAGGAACAAAATAGAGGCAAGCCCAATTGGGAGCATCTAAATGAAGACTTACATGTACTGATCACTGTGGAAGATGCTCAGAACAGAGCAGAAATTAAACTGAAGAGAGCAGTTGAAGAAGTGAAGAAATTACTGGTTCCTGCAGTAAGTAATAGTTTTCAAATACTAGACTGGGCCTCATCCCCATTTTACTCTACTTTTAAGTTATTTTAATGTTTATATTAACAAAGAATAAATTATTTGTTAAAATTTCTACTTAACCACAAATGTAAAAATAATTTATAACTCATTAAATTTACATTTAATGTACACATAGATGTGGCTTAAATTCTTATCTAGAAAAACTTGTTTATTTTTATATTGTGGGCAGGAGCAAACTCATTTAATGACCTACTTTTCAAAAGTGTCATTTTCAACTTTTGAATCTCTCTGTACTAAATGTAGATACAGCATCAGTGGGGTAACGGAAGTCTTGTTTTTTGTTTTTATTTTTTGAGGAGAACTAACTTTCTTTTTCTTTTTTTCTTTTTAATGTCAGAGGGCATGTACCCTCACCAGAGAAAGGGAAGAAAGCCCTTGCCCCCATGCCATAATCCCTTAGAGGAACAATTTCTTACTGTGAACACATGATGAGTCTAGAAGTCTGTACAATCGATCTCTGTGCTGAGGGAGCTTTGTTGGCAGTAGCACATCATCAGAGCTGCCCGTGAGTGCCAGGTACTCCCCAACATATCGCTATCTCCCATAGTCAGATTGAAGGTTCCGTGGTGAAACTTGCGTAACGTTGCCCAGTGTACCAGTCATCATTTTGAGAGCTTTTCACACTTTACTGTTATTTCTAAGATAATGAAAACTATCATTGCTCATATTTAGGGGCTTTAGATAAAACATTGAAAGTAATTTTGGAGGATGACCTAAAAAACTACCAGGTCACTTTTTGTTCTCATCCTCCCTCCTGTCTGTTCTCTTTTTGCATCACCTCTTTAGTCTGCTTTCCTGGGTCTGCCTCTTACTAGTATATAATCTTTTAGGAACGCTAGAAATGATTGCTGAATTACTACTAGAGTATTAGCTTTCCAACAAGAAATGCAAAATAAATTATAGGCTTTCTGAATCTTTATTACATTTTTTTGTTTGTTTTCTTAATTTTTTTTTTTTTTTGGCCGGAGAGCATGTGCATAGCTAGAGCACAAGATAGAAAGTACTCCATAATGGGACATGGTCATTCCACAATTCTTTTTTTTTCCTCTTATCCCATTAGGATTTGGGGGCATGCACACATCCATACCCAACATGCTTTTTTCAAGTGACCAGGACTAGAATTCAGACTGCAGTTGCGCAAGGGGTACTATACACTCCCAGTGTATATAACACTTAACTGTCGTTCTGTGTGGCCAGGCTGGTCTTTTCTTTTGTTAGCAAAAAATTAATTAATTAAATGTGGTGGACCCTAACTTGCTATTGGAAAAGCTAGGAGTATATCGGCATCTACATACATAAACATGATATCTACTGTTTTTTTATTTCTTAGATATTCTGTTCTTTATTATCTTTATAAGAGTCTATATTCCATAGGTAGACAAATCATAAGTTAACTTTTAGGAAGAAAAAATTTTTATGTAAATTCTGTTAGTAGGTCTTATAAGGAATTTAAACAAACAGGTTAAATATAAACTAAAATTTATGTTAGTGTAGTATTAAACCATATAATCTTCCCTCTTTCCGTTAATAATTGAGCAGTATGAAATGCTATGTAGAAAACGGGAATTTTATAAGTGTAATAGGATCTCATGATCACAAAAAGTTACTGAACATTAGACTCTTATTGCTAAGTATCTCAAAATATGCAACTCATAGTATACTGAGCAGATGTAGTCATATAATCTAGCAGGCAAATAGACAAGTGCATGATAATTAAAACTCTCACATCGATTCAGTTATTCTCATTGCATAAGCTGCTCTACTTGTAAGAGGTGTTTTTAACCTGAAAAAGAGCTTGGAATTAGTAGCTGTGTTACTAATTAGTTATGTGTCTATAAGGAAGTTCGTTTTAACTTCTCTGTGTCTTATTTTGTCATTTACAAAATGAGAGTTGGAGCAAATGACCTCCGAGGACTTTGTTTTAAAACTTACTCATTTTCAGGTAACGAAAGGTTACAGTAAATAAAAAGTGATAGACCTTTAAAATAATTAGGCAATTTATATTTAAAGGAAAACTGCACTTTTGGTGATAAATCTATCTACATAAGTAGTTTTAGGGTTACTATTAAATAGTTAACAATACTTTCATATTGTAGTTTTTAAAATGATTCACCCTGAAGTAGTAAAATGTTTTTAGAATCATAAATTGTAGAATAAAAGTACCTTAAGGTATGAGTTCCTTACAGTTATTTAAACTTGAAGTAGTTAATTACCCGTGTTCATTTTATTGATATTGATTGTAACATGGATGATATACAAGTATTTGTTTTAATTAAGATGAACATTATTAAATATTTGTGATACGAAGATACCGAAGTTTAAACAAAGCAGAAGCTTTTCTGTACTTGAAGCTGTTCCATAATTTGCTGTTTTAACGTCATCCCTGTGTAGGCTTAGACAGTAGAAAAATGATGTTTGATGTTAGACAAAGTGGTATTTATACTAACAAATGAAAAGAATGGGTAAACCTTTTTTACTTAAAAAGAAAATCACCAGAATATGATTTGTGCATCATCATGGACATTTTGATGACATCAGGATGCTTGCTGGTACTCAAAGTTGCCAGTTCTGGAGAGCTTTATAGTACTTCTCGAGTATCTCTAGTACACAGGGACATCTGTGGTATTTAGAGTAACCTAGCCACTGCATCCTAAATAGGATACTTTCATTGGTCCATGTGTATAAAAGAAACATTTCATATTCTAGGATAGGTAATGGTTGTCCACACAAAAGGAATAGCTTATACTTAGTATTTATTGACCATTTTTCTTATTTTGACTAAATTTCTGTTTGTCATACAGCATGTATTACTGCTTTACTTCTTGTTGAGAAATATTGATAATTTACTGTTCTTGCCAGTAGAAGGAGAGTTTCATATAATATATGAATCTCATTCAGGCATTTTTATCTTCTTAATTATTATTTTTTTTTAAGAATTATTTCTTTAATTTTATTCATTTGTTCATTCAACACAATTTGACCAGAGAGAGGCACATGGCGGGGGGGTGGGGGGAGCAAGCCACCAGGTCTGGAATTCAAACCATGGCTGGCCTTGTGAGAGTGTCCAGCACTTTAACCACCATGCCACCTGCTGGCCCCCATTTTTATCTTCTGATCTGGTAACCTAATCACTGCGTAGTTCTGCTTGAAACAAAACCTAAGAGGTGCTTTTCGTTCTTTTAATACATTTTAGTTTATATTAAATGTATGCTCTTTGTGGAAAGAATAAAAAATACAGAAAAGTTTAAAAAGAATTAGTCATCTCTGTCAGTGTTAATACTGTCAAGCTGCTGCTGCATTTTTTTTTTTCTTTTTTTGGTAAAGAATTTTTTGCCCTGGGGTGCATATGCTCACTGTGGAGAGACAGAGAGGGAAAATGAGAAGTCACTACCACCACCACTCCCAAGAGGGTTGGCCAAACTGCATTCCCTTCTCCTGAGATTTTGGGCATGCACCTGGCATGATTTTTAAGCCACCAGGTCCAGGATTTGAACTGTGGTCAGTCATGTGGGAATCTTGCACTTTAACCTTCACAATACCTGCTGGCCCCACTTTCAGCTTATTTTCTTAGTACAGTAATTAAAAATAAAAAGGAATAATCTCTTATTTGTTAATGTTATATGATTATCATTTTCCCATGTCACTAAATGGTCATTAGTACAGACTTTTTACTTGTTTCATATCTTACATTCTGTGTATAATGTGATAGGTGTGTTACTACCTATTCATTATTGGATATTTAAGGTGTTTTATACCTTTCACACAGTATTATAGATACTGTCTTTGTAAAGAAATATTGGACTTCCTTTCTGTATAGTTTAAAATGAATTTCCAGAAGTAAAATTAGAGGATTAAATTATTATTTAGTGTAAAATTATACTTACACCAACATCATGTTAAGAGTACCCATTTTACTTTAGTTTTATCTCTAGGTATTGCAATTTGAAAAGCCAGTTTTTTATATTGAAAAATTTTCAGCTGCTATCTCATTGTTGAATTGGAGACTTTCAGGAAACTGGAGAGTTTCAGATTTGCCCTTCTCATTAGGTCACATTTGTATTTCCTTTGGATTGTCTTTGTCATATTCTTTGTCCAGTTTTCTGTTTCAGTATCTGTATTTTTCTTACTCGTGTTGTATGAACCCTCTCTATTAAAGGTTGTATTATATCTAATATTTGCTAAATTTTATGGTTGCCTTTTCAATTTTCCTTTTTAAATACATTTTAATTTTTTTTATTATGCCATGTACGGGAAAGAAAAAGTTCCCCTCAGCAGGGCCTAGTCATGACACAATCCTTTTTCCTTCAATTCTTCTTCCTCCCAAGATCCTGGGTGTGTGCCTAGCATATAGGCTGCTAGTACTGGGACCTGAACTGTGGTCAGCTGTGTGAGATTTAGCTTTGTCTGCCATGGAGTTCACTGCTACACCGTGGGGCCTAGCCCTAAGTTAGCTGAAGTTGACCTCAGTATGTCAGGTCACCATCCTACCTGTATAAATTCTGTTGAGCTTGTGGAACCATGTATTCAAGCTATGTAGCCTCCATTTCTACTCTTTGTTCTTTTAACATTCGGATAAATTGTTTTCCTGTCTTGTTACTTTCTTACTGGGACTATTAACTTTGACAGGATTTGTACGTTCCTTTATTTTTATGAACAATAGCTTCATACCCAACCTTTTAGTTTGTTCCTGTTCCTGGTTGTATAGATGCATGTGTAAATTTTTCTATTCTTATTTATTTTCATTTTTTTGCTTTGTCTGCAAAGGAAAATGACAGTTTTAAGTGTTTATGAGATGTGTAGAGGCCAGCTCTGTGGCCTGGTGGTTGAAGGAGCCAGATCCCACATGGCTAAGTGTACAGTTTGAGCTCTAGCTTCAGTGGTTTGAAAACCATGTAGGGCCGTTTGTGCACAGGTGCCCTAAATCCCAGCAGGATGGAAAAATG